TGGTAGCCCAGGCTGGCCTCGAACTCACAGAGATCCGCCTGGCTCTGCCTCCCGAGTGCTGGGATTAAAGGCGTGCGCCACCACCGCCCGGCTGCGCCACCACCGCCCGGCTTTGCTTTGTTTTTTGAGACAGGGTTTCTCTGTATAATAGCCCTGGCTGTCCTGGAACTCACTCTGTAGACTAGGCTGGCCTTGAAGTCAGAGATTTGCCTGCCTCTGCCTCCTGAGTGCTGGGATTAAAGGTGTGTGCCACCATGCTCAGCCTTACTTCTTTTTAGAAAATAGAGAGAAAAAAGTCTTGCGGCTGGAATGATGGCTCAGTGATTAAAAACACTGCTTGTTCTTCCAGAAGACCTGGGTTCAATTCCGAGAACCTACATCGTAGCTCACAATTGTCTGTAACTCCCATTCCAGATCTGACACCCTCTTCTGACTTCCAAGGGAACCAGGTCCATGTGTGGTGCACATACACATGCAGGGAACAACACTCATAGGCATAATAATAAATAAACAGTTAAAAAAATAAAATCTCATTGTTTTTCTCTTGAGACAGGGTCCATGTAGCACAGGCTGGCCTTGAACTTGCTAGGTAGCTGAAGCTGACCTTGAACTCTGATTCTTTTGTTTCCACTTTCCAACTGCTAGAACCATATACATGTGCTACTACTCCTGGCTTTTATTTTATATTTTCTTCTTCACAGGGAAACCCTGTCTGGAAAAACAAAACAAAAGCAAAAAAGCCAACCAACCAAACAAAAAACCCCAAAGCCTGGGGATAAATTCTCTCCTTCCACCTCTTGGGACAAGGTCTCTCTAGCTTCTGCTAAGGTGCTCATACTCCAGGCGAGGGGCTCAGGAGCTTCTGGGTGGTTTTCCACCTGCCTCCTGAAGGCTCAGATCACAGGTGCTCACCACCACACATGCTTGCTATGTGGTATGTTCTGGGGATTAAACTTGGGTGTCAGGCTCGCCTAGCTAGTGCCTTTACCCGCTAAGCTATCTCCCCAGCCCAGCAAAATATTTTTTAAGTGCAAATACATTTCACAGACAATGGTTTGTGAGGTAGAGTGTTGTGGACCCTTTACAATAATTGTGCTCCCTTATGTTCATTTACCCTGTGCACAATGATCTCTGGCCCACAGATTAGAAACCACCAGGATAAGAATTAAGATTTAGCCAGGTGGTGTTGGCGCACTCCTTTAATCCCAGCACTCGGGAGGCAGAGCCAGGCAGATCTCTGTGACTTCGAGGCCAGCCTGGTCTACACAGAGAAACCCTGTCTTG